CAAGTCCCCAGGGCCAGATCAACTACACCCAAGAGTATTGAAGGAACTAGCGGAAGTCATTTCGGAACCATTGGCAATCATCTTTGAGAGTTCTTGGAGAACGGGAGAAGTTCCAGCAGATTGAAGAAGGGCCAATGTGGTCCCAATCTTCAAGAAGGGAAAAAAGGATGACCCAAACAATTACCGTCCGGTCAGCCTCACGTCAATACCAGGCAAGATTCTGGAAAAGATTGTTAAGGAAGTGGTCTGCAAACACTTAGAAACAAATGCGGTCATCGCCAATAGTCAACATGGATTTATCAAAAACAAGTCATGCCAGACTCATCTGATCTCTTTTTTCGATAGAGTTACAAGCTGGGTAGATGCGGGGAATGCCGTGGATGTAGCGTACCTGGATTTCAGTAAGGCCTTCGACAAGGTCCCCCATGACTTTCTGGCAAGGAAACTAGTCCAATGTGGGCTAGGCAAAACTACGGTGAGGTGGATCTGTAATTGGTTAAGTGGACGAACACAGAGAGTGCTCACTAATGCTTCCTCTTCATCTTGGAAAGAAGTGACAAGTGGAGTGCCGCAGGGTTCCGTCCTGGGCCCGGTCCTGTTCAACATCTTTATTAATGACTTAGATGAAGGGCTAGAAGGCAGGATCATCAAGTTTGCAGACGACACCAAATTGGGAGGGAGAGCCAATAGTCCAGAGGACAGGAGAGGAATTCAAAACGATCTTGACAGATTAGAGAGATGGGCCCAAACTAACAAAATGAAGTTCAACAGTGACAAATGCAAGATACTCCACTTTGGCAGGAAAAACGAAATGCAAAGATACAGAATGGGGGACGCCTGGCTCGAGAGCAGTACGTGTGAAAAAGATCTTGGAGTCCTCGTGGACAACAAGTTAAACATGAGCCAACAATGTGATGTGGCGGCAAAAAAAGCCAATGGGATTTTGGCCTGCATCAATAGGAGCATAGTGTCTAGATCTAAGGAAGTAATGCTACCCCTCTATTCTGCTTTGGTTAGACCACATCTGGAATATTGTGTCCAATTCTGGGCACCACATTTCAAGGGAGATATTGACTCTAAGCTGGAATGTGTCCAGAGGAGGGCGACTAAAATGATCAAGTGTCTGGAGAACAAGCCCTATGAGGAACAGCTTAAGGAGCTGGGCATGTTTAGCCTGAAGAAGAGAAGGCTGAGAGGAGATATGATAGCCATGTATAAATATGTGAGAGGAAGCCACAGGGAGGAGGAGGGAGCAAGCTTGTTTTCTGCTTCCCTGGAGACTAGGACGCAATGGAACAATGGCTTCAAACTACAAGAGAGGAGATTCCATCTGAACATGAGGAAGAACTTCCTGACTGTGAGAGCCGTTCAGCAGTGGAACTCTCTGCCCCAGAGTGTGGTGAAGGCTCCTTCTTTGGAAGCTTTTAAACAGAGGCTGGATGGCCATCTGTTGGGGGTTATTTGAATGCGATGTTCCTGCTTCTTGGCAGGGGTTGGACTGGATGGCCCATGAGGTCTCTTCCAACTCTTAGATTCTATGATTCTATGATTCTACCTGACATACGCCGGGAAGTAGCAGCCAATAGTGAAAGGACCAAGGCAGTGACATCTCCAGCTCATCCCCTGTTTGGGTATCAACCAGCATGTCAACGACTTAAATCAAGAAATAGTTTTCTAAGATCTACAGAGACACTCGCTGGAACACCCCAGCAAGCGAGAGTCCAAAAGTGGCAGGCTCAAACCCAGAATACCCAATGAGAGACTCCTCCCTGGGCACACAGACTTGGAAGGCGCTGAACAGACTGCGCTCGGGCAAAACGAGATGCAGAGCCAACCTCAAGAAATGGGGCCACAAAGTGGAGTCCATGACATGCGAGTGCGGAGAAGAGCCAAACACTGACTACCTTCTGCAATGCACCCTGAGCCCTGCCACATGATGTACAAGGGAGGACCTTCTTGCGGCAACACCAGAGGCACTCCAAGGGGACAGAGACTGGTCAAAGGACATTTAATCCACTACCAAGCTTGCAAACTTTGTGGGGTTTTTTATCTGTTTGTCAATGACTTAAATCTAGAAATAGTTTTCTTAGATCTACAGAGACACTCGCTGGAACACCTCAGCAAGTGAGAGTCCAAAAGTGGCAGGCTCAAACCCAGAACTGATGGAGGACCTTCTTGCGGCAACACCAGAGGCACTCCAAGGGGACAGAGACTGCTCAAAGGACATTTAATCCACTACCAAGCTTGCAAACTTTGTGGGGTTTTTTATCTGTTTGTCAATGACTTAAATCTAGAAATAGTTTTCTTAGATCTACAGAGACACTCGCTGGAACACCTCAGCAAGTGAGAGTCCAAAAGTGGCAGGCTCAAACCCAGAACTGATGGAGGACCTTCTTGCGGCAACACCAGAGGCACTCCAAGGGGCTCAAAGGACGTTTAATCAACTACCAAACACAAATTCTATCTTTTTTCCATTTGTTTGTTTGTTGTTGTTAAAAATGTAATACAAATGTCTGGCTGCTGATGACACAATAAAAAAAACATTGATCTTGGACCCTGACACGGATACTTGTGCCTAACGGGTGACTTAAAGAGAAAGAACCAAGAACAAAGCTATTAGAATAAACTTTATTTACCTTTTCAAGATTCTTCATTGGTGAGGCTGAAGGACTCAGTTACATTCAAATCCATTCCGGCAGACCATAAAATGCGCGTGTGCGCGCCTCGTCCTTCTCTGCCTGAAGGCAAGCGTCAACCCTGATACAGAAGTCTTTAAAACCAGACGTCGGCCCTGATCGGTTGTATCAAAATATGACGAACGGTTGTACAAAAAAAAACCCCGAAGCTTCATGTGTGCTATTTCTCCGTAAAAATTGCACGCCGTTTACTCTGACTTTGGTGAAACTGCATCCTATTTGGCTTCTAGGCTAAACACGGAGGAAATATATATCTATATATATATCTCTATCTATATAAAAAAAGGCAGCCAGGTTCGAGGGAAAGGGAGGAGAGGAACCTGTAAACACAATTCAGGGCCCCGTTTGGCCCCGGGGAGGGAATTGGCCCATAAAACCTTGTAAACGTGTCTGTATTCTCCGTGGCGCAAGAATAACCGTAAGCGAGGACCCGGAGACACCCGTAACACTGCAGCGCCCGAGGAAACCAGGCCAAAAAATATAGGTTGCTTACCTGTAACTCTAGTTTCCTGAGTGATCACCTGTGAATTCGCACATATGGTAGTTTCTGCACCTGAGCAGACAGCTTCGGAACCTTCTAGATAGATTTGAAAAATTTTGGCAGTTAGCCCCGCCCACTCTCCCCTTGCGAGTATAAGCAACTGCCTCAGTTCTTTCGATCCGCCGCTCTGTCAGCAGCTAAGGACCTTCGTCGTGTGACTCGCTTATTGGACTGCCAATCATGCCTGACTGGACTTCTTATTCTTTGACGTTGTTCTCCTTTTTAATTGAAATGGCGGTCTTCGCCCACCTGCTTCGGAACCTTCTAGATAGATTTGAAAAACTTTGGCGGTTGGCCCCGCCCACTCTCCCCTTGTGAGTATAAGTAGCCGGTGGGCGAAGACCACCATTTCAATTAAAAAGGAGAACAACGTCAAAGAAGAAAAAGTCCAGCGAGTCACACGATGAAGGTCCTTAGCTGCTGACAGAGCGGCGGATCAAAAGAACTGAGGTGGTGGCGCCGCCCACCTGCTACTTATACTCGCAAGAGGGAGAGTGGGCGGGGCCAACCTTCATCGTGTGACTCGCTGGACTTTTTATTCTTTGACGTCGTTCTCCTTTTTCATTGAAATGGCGGTCTTTGTCCACCTGCTACTTATACTCGCAAGGTGAGAGTGGGCGGGGCCAACCGCCAAAGTTTTTCAAATTTATCTAGAAGGTTCCGAAGTAGGTGAGCGAAGACCGCCATTTCAATTAAAAAGGAGAACAACGTCAAAGAAGAAAAAGTCCCCTCAGACATGATTGGCAGTCCAATAAGCTAGTCCAACGATGAAAATCCTTAGCTGCTGACAGAGCGACGGATCAAAAGAACTGAGGCGGTTGCTTATACTTGCAAGGGGAGAGTGGGCGGGGCTAACCACCAAAGTTTTTCAAATCTATCTAGAAGGTTCCGAAGCAGGTGGGCGAAAGAACGGAGGCGGTGGCGCGCCCACCTGCTACTTATACTCGCAAGGGGAGAGTGGGCGGGGCCAACCGCCAAAGTTTTTCAAATCTATCTAGAAGGTTCTGAAGCAGGTGGGCGAAGACCACCACTTCAATTAAAAAGGAGAACGTCAAAGAATAAAAAGTCCAGTCAGACATGATTGGCAGTCCAATAAGCGAGTCACATGATGAAGGTCCTTAGCTGCTGACAGAGCAGCGGATCAAAAGAACTGAGGTGGTGGCGCCGCCCGGCTGCTACTTATACTAGCAAAGGGGAGAGTGGGCGGGGTCAACCACCAAAGTTTTTCAAATCTATCTAGAAGGTTCCGAAGCAGGTGGGCGAAGACCGCCACTTCAATTAAAAAGGAGAACAACGTCAAAGAAGAAAAAGTCCAGTCAGACATGATTGGCAGTCCAATAAGCTAGTCCAACGATGAAAATCCTTAGCTGCTGACAGAGCGGCGGATCAAAAGAACTGAGGCGGTTGCTTATACTCGCAAGGGGAGAGTGGGCGGGGCCAACTGCCAAAGTTTTTCAAATCTATGTAGAAGGTTCCAAAGCTGTCTGCTCAGGCACAGAAACTATCATATGTGCGATACACAGGGATCACGATGGGAAACCTAGTTTGCTGAAAAGTGTGTGGGGGGGGGGGATAAAAAATGCACATTTGAACCAAAAATAATACACAAATGATCTCCTTGGAGTCGACTTTCTGGGAAAGGGGGTGCCCACGAGGTGCATCATGGCACTGGGGTACATTCTGGAGAGATCCTCTGAGGAGGTGGAAACATCTGGAGGTGTTACTAGGAATACAGACATACAAAGAGTAAGTAAGGTGCTTTGGAAGGTCTGGAGGAAGGAGCCAGAGCAAGGCTCCAATGGCGTTCCTCGGAAGAGAAGAGACCCAGAGAGAGAGAGAGAGAGAGAGAGAGGCAGCTCTGCTCCTTCACAGCTTCCACTTTCAGTAGTTCCCAAAGGCCCCAGAGCGGATATGCAAAGGCCCGTCTTGAAATGCACGACTTGCAGTCCCGTAATAATACTTGTCAAAGTCTTGGTAAATAGGCTGCGCCCGGGGTCAGTCCACGCCGTCAAAGCCCTGCGCGTTCTCAATGGCCAAGTGCAGCCGGTCCCACAGGTCTTCAAAGGACTCGTAGGCAGGAAGGTCCAGGCGGTTGAAGCTGCAGAAGGAGAGAGGCAGAGATGGAGATGACTGGAAGCTCCACAAAATTCTCAAAAGCAAGCTCAATGGAGGTAATACCATCAAGGCCATCAACACCTGGGCCATACCTGTCATAAGATACACTGCTGGCATCGTAAACTGGACACAGTAGAAAAAGGAGAAGGAGAAGATGGGGCAATGCTGACAGGGGATAGGGAAAAGGCAGAACTACTCAATGCCTTCTTTGCCTCGGTCTTCTCACAAAAAGAAAGTCACCTTCAACCTCAGCAAGATGGAGTGGGTGAGGGATTAGAGGACATCCAACCTCAAATTGGGAAACAAGTTGTCCAGGAACTCTAAATGAGTTCAAGTCCCCAGGGCCAGATCAACTCCACCCAAGAGTATTGAAGGAACGAGCGGAAGTCATTTCGGAATCTTTGGCAACCATCTTTGAGAGTTCTTGGAGAACGGGAGAAGTCCCAGCAGATTGGAGGAGGGCCAATGTGGTCCCAATCTTCAAGAAGGGAGAAAAGGAGGACCCAAACAACTACCGTCCGGTCAGCCTAACGTCGATACTGGGCAAGATTCTGGAAAAGATTGTTAAGGAAGCGGTCTGCAAACACTTAGAAACAAATGCAGTCATCGCTAAGAGACAACATGGATTGATCAAAAACAACTCATGCCAGACTAATCTGATCTCTTTTTTCGATAGAGTTACAAGCTGGGTAGATGCGGGGAATGATGCCGTGGATGGAGCGTGTCTGGATTTCAGGAAGGCCTTCTGTGACAAGGTCCCCCATGAACTTCTGGCAAGGAAACTACTCCAAGGTGGGCGAGGCAAAACTACGGTGAGGTGGATCTGGAATTGGTTCAATGGACGAAGCCAGAGGGTGCTCACCAATGCTTCCTCTTCATCCTGGAAAGAAGTGACAAGTGGAGTTCTGCAGGGTTCCGTTCTGGGCCTTGTCCTGTTCAGGATCTTCATTCATGACTTAGATGATGAAGGGCGAGAAGGCATGATCATCAAGTTTGCAGACGACACCAAATTGGGAGGGAGAGCCAAGACTCCAGAGGACAGGAGCAGGACTCAAAGGGATCTTGACAGATTAGAGAGATGATGGGCCGAAACTAACAAAATGAAGTTCAACGGGGACAAATCCAAGATACTCCACTTTGGCAGGAAAAATGAAATGCAAAGAGACAAAATGGGGGACGCCTGGCTCGAAAGCAGTATGTGTGAAAAAGATCTTGGAGTCCTCGTGGACAACAAGTTAAACATGAGCCAACGATGTGATGTGGCGGCAAAAAAAGCCAATGGGATTTTGGCCTGCATCAATAGGAGCATAGTATTTAGGTCCAGGGAAGTCCTGCTCCCCATGCTCTATTCCGCTTTGGTTAGACCTCAACTGGAATATTGTGTCCAATTCTGGGCACCACAATTCAAGAGAGATATTGACAAGCTGGAATGTGTCCAGAGGAGGGCAACTCAAATGATCAAGGGTCTGGAGAACAAGCCCTATGAGGAGTGGCTTAAAGAGCTGGGCATGTTTTAGCCTGAAGAAAAGGCTGAGAGGAGACATGATAGCCATGTATAAATATGTAAGAGGAAGCCACAGGGAGGAGGGAGCAAGCTTGTTTCTGCTTCCTTGGAGACTAGGACGCAATGGAACAATGGCTTCAAACTACAAGAGAGGAGATTCCATCTGAACATGAGGAAGAACTTCCTGACTGTGAGAGCTGTTAGGCAGTGGAACTCTCTGCCCCGGAGTGTGGTGGAGGCTCCTTCTTTGGAAGCTTTTAAGCAGAGGCTGGATGGCCATCTGTCAGGGGTGATTTGAATGCAATATTCCTGCTTCTTGGCAGAATGGGGTTGGACTGGATGGCCCATGAGGTCTCTTCCAACTCTTGGATTCTAGGATTCTACAGGCAGAACTGGCCTAGAAAGTCTGGTGGCAGAGGACTCTTACAAGTAAAACAAGCAGTCGAAGAAGAAAAACACGATGCCCTGGCAGAAGATGTCAAGGAAAGCCAAGAACCTGCTTTAATTGAAGTCATTAATCGGAAACTCCTCAAATCATAGCAGACAAAGAACCAGTACAAGAAAACTGCACTCCGAACCAGAGCCGACAGCTGGCACAACAAAGCCTTACATGGGCAGTTCCTTGACAAAATGGAAGGAAAAGGTGACAAGGAGAAGACCTGGTGATGGCTCACGAATGGAACCCTGAAGAAAGAGACAGAAGAAGGCCTGATTCTTGTAGCCCAGGAGCAAGCCATTAGAACAGTGGTTCTCAACCTTCCTAATGCCGTGACCCCTAAATCCAGTTCCTCGTGTTGTGGTGACTCCCAACCATATTTTCATTGCTACTTCATAACTGATACTATTATGAATCATAATGTAAATATCTGATATGCAGGATGTATTTCCATTACAAATTGGAACATAATTAATGCATAATTAATTAATGTTTGGGGGAGTATGGACAATGGATGATGGGATCTGCAGTACCTTCAACTGACTCAGACCACTGAGACCCCCACAAATAACATACATGGGCCAAATCCAACACACAGGATCCCCCATTACCAAAGGAAAATAATGGAGGGGGTTGGGAGGAATTGACAGTGATTTATGAGAGATGTAGAACATGACCAACATAAGATACTGGAAGGGTTTGGTGGGCATTGATCTTGAGTTTGGGAGTTGCAGTTCACCTACATCTGGAGAGAACTATGAACCCAAACAACAATGGGTCTGGATCAAATTTGGCACAAATGCTCAATATTCCCAAATTTGAATACTGGTGGAATTTGGAGAAAATAGACCTTGGTATTTGGGAGTTGTAGTTGTGTGGATTCATAGTTCCCCTTTGATCAAAGAGCCTTCTGAACTTCACCAGCACCCTGAGGATGGGGCCTGCACAAGGAGGCAGGGCCGCGACCCCTCGAGAATTGCCAAACAACCCCTCTGGGGGTTGCGACCCCCAGGTTGAGAACCACTGCATTAGAACTGCGACATGCTGTGCTTTTGTGTCAGTAAAATAATAATAATAATAATAATAATAATAATAATAATAATAATAATAATAATACATCACACAGTCCTAGACGCTTGGGAAGGGTTCGACTTGCGATTTTGTGATACGAAATCCAGCAGAGAGATCTCGTTTGCTGCAACATGCTGTGCTTTTGTGTCAATAATAATAATAATAATAATAATAATAATAATACATCACACAGTCCTAGACGCTTGGGAAGGGCTCGACTTGTGATTTTGTGATACGAAATCCGGCATCAAGATCTCGTTTGCTGTGACATGCTGTGCTTTTGTGTCAGTAAAATAATAATAATAATAATAATAATAATAATAATAATAATAATAATACATCACACAATCCTAGACGCTTGGGAAGTGTTCAACTTGTGATTTTGTGATACGAAATCCAGCATCGAGATCTCGTTTGCTGTGACATACTTTTGTGCTTTTGTGTCAATAATAATAATAATAATAATAATAATAATAATAATAATACATCACACAGTCCTAGACGCTTGGGAAGGGCTCGACTTGTGATTTTGTGATACGAAATCCAGCAGAGAGATCTCGTTTGCTGTGACCAACTGTGCTTTTGTGTCAATAATAGTAATAATAATACATCGTCATCACCTACCACGTGTGAGCCCTGGGCAGCTTGTCTGGGGAGCCCCACTGCTCAATGGTGAACAGCTGCGGTCCATTTGAACCTAAAAGAAAGGGAGGAGGCCCACTCAGATACATTCCCCACCTGCTTTTAGATATATCATACCAGCTGTTAGGAATTATGGGAGTTGGGGTCCAAAACACCTAGAGGGAAGGTCAAAGTTGGCCCATGCCTGGCCTAAACACAGCAATGGCCACTTGGTTTTGGCTGATGATAAATGCCATGATGCACTAGGAAGAGGGCACCACCCACCGTACAACTCGGCAAAGCCGTTCATGGGCAGCCGTGACGTCCCCGTCACAAATTGGAGCAGCCGGATGCGCTTTTCCGAGTCCATCAGCAGCACCGCCTGCGGAAAAGGAGGCACAGAGCGATAATGACAGAAGGCCCCAAAGGTCGACCCACCTCCCCCACATTAAGGGCATCTTGGGGGGGGGGGGATGGTATTTGTTTACCTTCCAGAACCACTGGATCACGGTGTGGTTGGCGTTGTAGCCGCCCTTGTACTTGGTGTGCTCCCGCCAGTCGTTCACGTCCACGTCGCCCAGGCCGCACATCAGCAGCTGGAAGCAAAGACGGGTGGTTTTGTATGTGAGGTCAGGGTTAGGGTTAGGGTCCAGGACTGGGCCCAGGATGGAACCCTGCTTGAGGCACTCCACTCGTCACTTCTTTCCAGGCTGAAGAGGAGGAAGCCTTGGTGATCTCCTGCCTCTAGTGTTTAGTTCAGGGCCAACTTGGGCCTTTCCAAGTGTTTTGGACTTCAACGCTTGTTAGGAATTGCAGGAGTTGAAGGCCAAAACACTTGGAGGGCCCAAGTTTGCCCCATGTCTGGTCTAGTTGGAGGGAAAGACACGAAGGACTAATGGAGCCACAAGAGAAGGAAAGCGGGGAGACTGGCAGAAGGGGAGCCGTGCCTTAATTACCTCCAGTTCGTTTTCGTCAAAGATCTTGATCAAGTCCTGCGGGATGAGTTCAAAAAAGCCCTGGAAGAGAGGAGAGCGGGAAGGCAGACTCAGCACGGATTGTTCCATGCGCTTTGGGAACAAGGACAGAGCCCACAGGGACACCCACGGCTTCGGATCAGAGCTTCACAGACTTGGAAGAAACCTTGATGAGGGCCACCCAGGCCAACCCACTTCGGCCAGGCCAAAGCCCTCCCAACAGATGGCCATCCAGACCCTGCTTAACAATAACAACAACATTGGGTTGCTGTGTGTTTTCTGGGCTGTATGGCCCCCAGTGGCGCAGTGGGTTAAAGCGCTGAGCTTGTTGACCGAAAAGTTGCTGGTTCGAATCCGGGGAGCGGCGTGAGCTTCCGCTGCCAGCCCTAGCTTTTGCCAACCTAGCAGTTTGGAAACATGCAAATGTGAGTAGATCAATAGGTACCGCTCCGGTGGGAAGGTAACGGCACTCCATGTAGTCATGCCGGCCACATAACCTTGGAGATGTCTATGGACAACGTTGACTTGGAAACATGCAAATGTGAGTAGATCAATAGGTACCGCTCCGGCGGGAAGGTAACAGCACTCCATGTAGTCATGCCGGCCACATAACCTTGGAGGTGTCTATGGACAACGTTGACTTGGAAACATGCAAATGTGAGTAGATCAATAGGTATCGCTCCAGCGGGAAGGTAACGGCACTCCATGTAGGCATGCCGGCCACATGACCTTGGAGGTGTCTATGGACAACGTCGACTTGGAAATGAGTAGATCAATAGGTACCGCTCCGGCGGGAAGGTAACGGCACTCCATGTAGTCATGCCGGCCACATGACCTTGGAGGTGTCTATGGACAACGTCGACTTGGAAACATGCAAATGTGAGTAGATCAATAGGTATCGCTCCAGCGGGAAGGTAACGGCACTCCATGTAGTCATGCCGGCCACATGACCTTGGAGGTGTCTATGTACAACGGACAAACCTAGCTGTTCGGAAACATGCAATGTGAGTAGATCATAATAGTACCGCCTCACCGGCGTTAGGGTTTTTTATCCTGTCAGACTCCAAATATTAGCCCCACTTCTGCCAACCTAGCAGTTCGAAACATGCAAATGTGAGTAGATCAATAGGTACCGCTCCGGCAGGAAGGTAATGGCACTCCATGCAGTCATGCCAGCCACATGACCTTGGAGGTGTCTACGGACAACGCTGGCTCTTCGGCTTAGAAATGGAGATGAGCACCATACCCCAGAGTCAGACATGACTGGACTTAATGTCAGGGGACTACCTTTACCTTTACCTAGTTTAAGGATGAGCCTTTAACAACCTCACTAAACTACAAACCCCAGAATTTCTACAGGAGGCAGAAACCAGATTTAAAGTGGATTCATTCTCTAGTGTAGTCATGCCGGGTCCACATGACCTTAGGACCGGTGTCATATGCGACAATGTCGACTATGGAAACATGCAAAGTGAGTAGATCAATAGGTACCGTTCCGGCAGGAAGGTAACGGCACTCCATGCAGGCATGCTGGCCACATGACCATGGAAGTGCCTATGGACAACACCAGCTCTTTGGCTTAGAAATGGAGATGAGCACCACACCCCACAGTTGGTCACAACTGGACTTAATGTCAGGGGGAAACCTTTACCTTTACCTAAATAGGATGGGTCGCAGGCTGTCTAGGCAACGCTGACGCATCTTCGAGCCCTAGAGAAAGGATGAGTGTGGGTTGTTGTAAACCACACACGTCATCCCCACTATGGAGACTTTCAGCCTAGAAATGGAGGTGACCACCACACCCCAGAGTCGGACACGACTGGACTTAATGTCAGGGGACGACCTTTACCTTTACCTATGGCCATGTTCCAGTCTAGGAAACCTAGACTTGCAAAAGACCCAAAGGGCCATCCAGCCCAAACCTCTTCTACCAAGCATGAAGACACAATCAAAGCCCTCCCAACAGATGGCCATCCATCCCTTGCTTACAACATATAATAACAACATATACGGTAATAATAATTGCACTGTGGAATCATAGACTTGCAAAAGACCCAAAAGGCCATTCAGTAACCAACCCCTTTCTATCAGGCAGGAAGACACAGCCAAAGCATTCCTGACAGATGGCCGTCCAGCCCCTGAATAGTAATAACAACAACAATAATCATCATCATCCCCATCATACCCGAACCCTAGAGTTGGAAGGGACCCCACTACCATCCAGTCCAAAACTTTTCTGCCAGGCAGGAAAAGCACACTCAAAGCCTTCCCGACAGATGGCCATCCAGCCCCTGAATAGTAATAGTAACAACAATAATAATTATCATCACCATCATACCCGAACCCTAGAGTTGGAAGGGAACCCCCTAACATCCAGTCCAAAACTTTTCTGCCAGGCAGGAAAAGCACACCCAAAGCCCTCCCGACAGATGGCCACCCAGCCTCCTCCTCACTCCGAGGGTATGGATTCACAAAATATCCTCCTCTATTTCGGTACCTCTTTGAAGGAAGCCATCTGTTTCTGTATCCTGTTCACAAAGCGCCACTGGATCACAAGGCTGCAAAAATGGAAGAAGGAATTCAATTGTAAATACAGTAAAGAGCCAGATTTCAGACAAAGCGGGTTTCCCGGAGAGCGGTGCCAGGACGCAGGGCGCGGGAGCACTTACTGGATGTATTCCTGCTTGTTGGCGTTGGTGACCACCTCCTCGGAGCCTCCGCTCTTCAAGTCGTGCTGGTGCGTCTGAGGGGAACGGGACGAAGGTGCACTGAGCGCATGGCCACGCAATTGGGCTGAACTCACAACATGAGCTGAGCCCCCATGGATTCCCTCCCCGAAGGCCCCACAAGGCAACAGACCTGGCCAAATAGCTCTTCGTCCACCGTGAACCGGAGGTCCAGCTCCGCAGGGTCGTTTTCAAGGATCCACATCAGGGAACTGTAGTATTCACTGTCCTGGAGTTTAATAGGAATTTATTTATTTATTTAGGGCGGATTACAGTGTACACATATATATGGCAAACATTCAATGCCAATTTTTGACATACAAACATATACAGACATACACAGAGGCTATTTAACTTTTTCTGGCCTCTTTCAACGTCCATCTGCGACGCTGATGAAGCACTTCCGCATTCCCCGCATGCTTCCCCGCACTTCCGCATTCCACGCATGCTTCCCCGCACTTCCGCATTCCCCGCATGCTTCACCGCACTTCCGCATTCCCCGCATGCTTCCCCACACTTCCGCATTCCCCGCACTTCTGCATTCCCCGCATGCTTCCCCGCTGGAGTGCTTTTGCTGGAGTCTTCTTTATGGCCTCATAAATCAGTTAATTTAGGCTCCCCACACTTTAAGGTGGTACCTAATATTCCTATTTGACAGATGCAACTGTCTTTTGGGTTGCAAAGGTCAACAACAGGCCACACACAATTGGTTGGAAACCCACTCCAACCCAGGTTGGCTTCGAACTCATGACCTTTTTGGTCAGAGTGATCTTAATGCAGCTGACACTCAGCCAGCTGCGCCACAAGGAAGGAAGGAAGGAAGGAAGGAAGGAAGGAAGGGACAAGGAGGAGGAAAGGTGGAAGGAAGGATGGAAGGAAGGAATGAGAGAGAAGGAAGGAGAAAGGAGAGGCAAGGAGGGAGAAAAGGAAGGAAGAAAAGGAGGAAGACAGGCAAAAAGGAGAAAGGAGAGGAAAGGAGGGAGAAAGAAGAAAGAGGAAATGAAGGAAGGAAGGCAAGCATAAAGGAGAGGAAAGGAGACAAAGGAGGGAGAGAGATGAAAGGAAGGAAGGCAAGCATAAAGAAGGAGAAATGAAGGAAGAATGAAGGAGGAGGAAAGGAAGGAAAGAAAACATAAAGGAGGAGGGAGGAAAGGAGAGAAACAGAAAAAGGAGGAGGATAAGAAGGAGAAAAAGAAGGGAAGAGGGAGGAAAAGGAAGAAAGGAAGGAAGGAAGGAAGGAGGGAAGGAAGGAAGGAGGAGAAGGAAGGAAGGAAGGAAGGAGGAAGGGAAGGAAGAGAGGAAGGGGAAGGAGGAAGGAAAAGAAGAAGGAAGGAGAAAGGAGAAGAAGGAGGGAGAAAGGAAGGAAAAGAGAAGGAAAGAAAAGGGAGAAGGAAGGAAAGGGGGAGAAAAGGAAGGAGGAGGAAAGAAGAAGGAAGAAAAAGAGAAAGGAGAAAGGGAGAGAGAAGGAAGGAAAGAAAATGGTAACGGAGGAGAGAGGAAAGGAGGGAAAAAGAGAAAGGAGGATAAGAAGGAGAAAAGGAAAGGGAGAGAGGGAGGCAATAAGGACAAGGAGAAAAGGAAGAAGGAAGGAGGAAGGAAGGACGGAAGGGAAGGACAAGGAGGAGGAAAGGTGGAAAGAAGGATGGAAGGAATGAGAGAGAAGTAAGGAGAAAGGAGAGGCAAGGAGGGAGAAAAGGAAGAAAAGGAGGAAAAAGGAGAAAGGAGGAGGAGGGAGAAAGAGGAGGAGGAGAAAAGGAGGAGAGAAAAGGAGAAATGAAAAGAAGAGGAGAAAAGGAAGGAAGGAAAGAAAGAAAACATAAAGGAGGAGAGAGGAAAGGAGGGAAAAAGAAAAAGGAGGAGGATAAGAAGGAGAAAAAGGAAAGGGAGAGAGGGAGGCAGGGAGGTAAAAAGTACAAGGAGAAAAGGAAGAAGGAAGGAAGTGACAGACAAGGAGGGAAGAAATGACGGAAGGCAAAGAGAAAGAGGAAGGAAGAAAAAGGAAAGGGAGGGAGGGAGGGAGAGAAAAAGGACAAGGAGGAAAGGAAGAAAGAAAGAAAGAAGGCAGGAAAAAAGGTGAAATGAGAGGAAAGAAGGGAGAAAGAGGAAGGAGGAGGAAGCGGTGGAAGGAAGAGAAAGGGAAGGAGAAAGAAGAAAGGAGGAGAAGGAAGGAAAAGGAGAAGAAGGAAAAAGAAGGAGAAGGAGGAAAGGAGAGAAAGGAAGGGAAAGGAAAGAAGGATGAAGAGGGAGGAAAGGAGAGAGAGAGAGAAAGGAAGGAAGGCAAGCAGGCAGGAAAAGTGAGAAGAAAGGAGGAGGAAA